GAGGTAGCTTGGACCGTGGCGACTATGGTGACTACTACCACCATAGCCGGAGGAGCAGCGAGAGGAACCGCAACTATGACAGTGATGGGAGCAGGTGCCGGCGACACAGGTCCAGGACTAGGAGCCCCGTCAGGGAGGGCAGCGAGGAGAGGAGGGCGAAGATTGAGCAGTGGAACCGTGAAAGGGAGGCGCCTGCCAGGCAGGGCAGCGAAGAGAGGAGGGCGAAGATCGATCAGTGGAACCGTGAGAGGGAGACTGCTCAGGCGTGAGATCTCCTGTCTGACTGCAGGTTGAAGTGTTGCCTTGTTCACCGGATGTTCTGCTTGCTTGTCTGATCGTGTAATGGTAGATGGAGTTAGAATTTGGTCCTAGTGAACTTGCTTGGATGCCTGATGTAACATCTTCAGTGTTGTTCTTGTTGAACTTCCTCTATGGATTTGTTGATGGAACATATTTGGTGTTGGACTTGTTATTGTTATGATTATTATAGTGTGTTCCCTGAATGTTCCTTTGCTCACATTCCATGTTTCAGTCTAAATGCATTGGGATTGAACTTTTGTACCACTTGACGTCAACTTATATTCCATGAGATATCCTGCCAGTTTTTTTTAGAAGAGATTTCCTGCCAGTTTAAAAGGCAGAGGCAGAGTTTAGCACTCATGGTGCAGTTAGAAATCTAATCTAGCTTGTGTTGTTGATTTTTATCCTCGCCCCGTTTCAGGTTCTGTCAGATGTGTAAAAGTTTACGTCAGGCACACATTGTTATGTGAAAACAAGTTCAGCAATCGGCGGATTGCTTTGCTCAGGAAGCTTGTTCGAGTGCAATTGCAAGTTTGCAACGGGAACTGAATTTTGCATCACTCGAGATCACCAACTCAGGTTTCTTGTAATAATCTTTATCTTTTTACTACGGAGCCCAACTTCTTAGACAAGTTCACAGGAACTTCTACACTATGGTAAAATTTAGTCGCTCGAGATCAAAAGACCTGAAGCTTCTTCATGTGTAAGCAATGGTCAATTCAGTCATCCTTGACCAGCTCAACTCCAGTGTTCTGTTGTGCAGTTCAGCACAAAGTCATTTCAATGGTCAGATGTGTCTGGACAATCCAAAATCATTTGTCTGTGTAATAATGCTAGCTCCAAAGGGGAGACGTTCTTTATTTCTTTTCAAAAAGAGAAGTATACAAAAGAAGAAGTCCAGAGAGGATAGCTGCCGGTCTGACTGGGTTGGCGCGCGCATGAACCCATCGTAGAGGCTCTTCAAAGCCGCTACATCCTGCAGCATCTATATAAGGGGAAGCACCATAGGGTCCTGATAATCTATCAATTACAACAAGCTCGTCTGCCAATTCACAAACCTAACCTAAAACCCCACTTCCTACGCAAGCCAGTCTTAGACAAGTGCTCCAATGGCGTCCCAGCTGGTCGAGAGCCACCGCGCCGGGGCCGATGTCATCAAGGGGCGCGAAGTCTGCAAGAAGAAGTCTGTCGAGCTCCTTGAAGAGTTCGGCCTCCCGAAAGGCCTCTTTCCAATGGACGACATTGAGGAAATCGGGTACAACCGCGAGAGCGGGTTCGTGTGGATGCTTCAGAAGAAGAAGAACCAGCACACCTTCAAGAAGATCCAGCAGACTGTCTCCTACGACACCGAGGTGACCGCTTTTGTGGAGAAGGGCAAGATCAAGAAGGTCACCGGGGTCAAGGTCGAGGAGCTGTCTTTGGTCGAGGTCCATGTGGATAAGTCTTCTGCTGATAAGGTCACCGTCAAGACTGACACCGGTCTGTCTGACATCCATGATGCAGCCGCGTTCGCTCTCGGAGAATAGGGAAGTAAGTAGAAATGGCACGAAATGAAGTCAGTGAATGGTTCGACACTATGGTTCGCATGTTAATGTTATGCAGAAGTATCTTTCCGTTTTCTTGTAAGCTCAAGGCTGCTGCGTGAATGTTGTTCCCTTTCGGCTTGTAAGCTTTCGACAGTGAAATGAATAACTGCATTTATAGTTTTATACCCCCTCCTCCATCCCACATCGATGACTCTCAACTTTCCTCTCAGTGAATGGTTCAGAATCTTCAGATCGATGTGAAAAACAAGTTTTTCTTAAGCACATATTTTTATGTGAAAACAATTTCTTCTCTCAAATGTTGTTTTGTAGTATTAGAAGAACACCGAGAAAAAGGCAAAGGAAAAAAATGGGACAAAGCAGAAACCAGAGCAAACCTAAACTAGCCAAAATCTAAGAACTAGCAAAGAGAATGACACAACCAAGACAGAGCAAACTTTATACTACTATGGTTGAGGCTGCATGATCCATAGATTATTTTCTCTTTCTAAGTTTAGGTTGATGTGAAAACAAGTTGCTTTAATGTTCCATCATTATATCTTTGAGGCTTGGCTTCAGACAACATAAAATGGAAAGAACTCTCATCATGCCAACCCTCTACTCAGTTGAGAATGAAAAGGGTTAGAAATTAGTTAGTTTGAGGCTAAGTTTGTGACTGTTGAACTGTCAAATTATCTGACAATTTGATATGGAAAATAGCTATAAAAAGGCTAAGCTTATGATTGCTAATCAATGGAATATATTTTATTAATTTGGTGAGGAAAAAACAGCTGTAAAATATGCAAAAGTAAATTATTGCAAGTAGTTAAGTAGGCAAAAATAATTCGGTGAATGAAAGGTTTTTGGTCACCAGAAAACTTCCTGCTTTTCTAAAATACCAAAAATTGGTGCCCTAATATTTGGAACATGAACATAAGCACATTAATTCACTGCATATTTTGAACTCGTACTAAATGTTGCACATTAAACTTGAAACGACATGACTTAAACACTACTACGATCATAATTTTTATCTCTCCGCACGGTCTAGGGACCACGGCAATTACTTGAAGGAAATATGCCCTAGAGGCAATAATAAAGTTATTATTTATTTCCTCATATCATGATAAATGTTTATTATTCATGCTAGAATTGTATTAACCGGAAACATAATACATGTTTGAATACATAGACAAAACTATAGTCACTAGTATGCCTCTACTTGACTAGCTCATTAATCAAAGATGGTTATGTTTCCTAACCATAGACATGTGTTGTCATTTGATTAGTGGGATCACATCATTAGGAGAATGATGTGATTGACATGACCCATTCTGTTAGCCTAGCACTTGATCGTTTAGTGTACTGCTATTGCTTTCTTCATGACTTATACAAAGTTCCTGCAACTATGAGATTGTGCAACTCCCGTTTACCGGAAGAACACTTTGTGTGCTACCAAACGTCACAACGTAACTGGGTGATTATAAAGGTGCTCTATAGGTGTTTCCGAAGGTACATGTTGGGTTGGCATAATTCGAGATTAGGATTTGTCACTCCGATTGTCGGAGAGGTATCTCTGGGCCCTCTCGGTAATACTCATCACCTAAGCCTTGCAAGCATGTAACTAATGAGTTAGTTATGAGATGATGTATTACGGAATGAGTAAAGAGACTTGCCGGTAACGAGATTGAACTAGGTATTGGATACCGACGATCAAATCTCGGATAAATAACATACCGATGACAAAGGGAACAATGTATGTTGTTATGCGGTTTGACCGATAAAGATCTTCGTAGAATATGTAGGAACCAATATGGGCATCCAGGTCCCGCTATTGGTTATTGACCGAGAATGGTTCTAGGTCATGTCTACATAGTTCTCGAACCCGTAGGGTCCGCACGCTTAACATTTCGATGACAGTTTTATTATGAGTTTATAAGTTTTGATGTACCAAAGTTTGTTCGGAGTCCCGGATGTGATCACGGACATGACGAGGAGTCTCGAAATGGTCGAGACATAAAGATTGATATATTGGACGACTATATTCGGACACCGGAAAGGTTCTGGGTGATTTCGGAGAAAACCGGAGTGCCGGGGGGGTTACCGGAACCCCCCGGGAGAGTATTGGGCCTATGGGCCTTAGGGGAAAGGAGAGAGGGGCGGCCAGCATGGGCCGCGCGCCCCTCCCCCCTCTGGTCCTAATTGGACTAGGAGGGGGGGGGGGCGGCGCCCCCCCTTTCCTTCCCCCTCTCCCCCTTCCTTCCCCCTCCTAGTAGGAGTAGGAAAGGAGGAGTCCTACTCCTACTAGGAGGACGATTCCTCCTCCCTTGGCGCGCCCAAAGGGGCCGGCCGGCCTCCCCCCTCCCTCCTTTATATACGGGGGCGGGGGGCACCCCATAGACACACAAGTTGATCTACGGATCGTTCCTTAGCCGTGTGCGGTGCCCCCTTCCACCATATTCCACCTCGGACATATCGTCGCGGAGTTTAGGCGAAGCTCTGCGCCGGTAGAACATCATCATCGTCACCACGTCGTCGTGCTGACGGAACTCATCTCTGGAGCTCAGCTGGATCGGAGGCCGGAGATCGTCATCGAGCTGAACGTGTGCTGAACTTGGAGGCTCCGTACGTTCGGTGCTTGGATCGGTCGGGTCATGAAAACGTACGACTACATCAACCGCGTTATGCTAACACTTCTGCTTACGGTCTACGAGGGTACGTGGACGAACACTCTCCCCTCTCGTTGCTATGCATCACCATGATCTTGCGTGTGCGTAGGAATTTTTTAAAATTACTACGTTCCCCAACAGTGGCATCAGAGCCTAGGTTTTATGCGTTGATGTTATATGCACGAGTAGAACACAAGTGAGTTGTGGGCGATACAAGTCATACTGCTTACCAGCATGTCATACTTTGGTTCGGCGGTATTGTAAGATGAAGCGGCCCGGACCGACATTACGCGTACGCTTACGCGAGACTGGTTTCACCGTTACGAGCACTCGTGCTTAAAGGTGGCTGGCGGGTGTCTGTCTCTCTCACTTTAGCTGAATCGAGTGTGGCTACGCCCGGTCCTTGCGAAGGTTAAAACAGCACCAACTTGACGAACTATCATTGTGGTTTTTGATGCGTAGGTAAGAACGGTTCTTGCTAAGCCCGTAGCAGCCACGTAAAATTTGCAACAACAAAGTAGAGGACGTCTAACTTGTTTTTGCAGGGCATGTTGTGATGTGATATGGTCAAGACGTGATGCTATATTTTATTGTATGAGATGATCATGTTTTGTAACCGAAGTTATCGGCAACTGGCAGGAGCCATATGGTTGTCGCTTTATTGTATGAAATGCAAACGCCCTGTAATTGCTTTACTTTATCACTAAGTGGTAGCGATAGTTGTAGAAGCAATAGATGGCGTAAACAACAACGATGCTATGATAGAGATCAAGGTGTCGCGCCGGTGACGATGGTGATCACGACGGTGCTTCGGAGATGGAGATCACAAGCACAAGATGATGATGGCCATATCATATCACTTATATTGATTGCATGTGATGTTTATCCTTTATGCATCTTATCTTGCTTTGATTGACGGTAGCATTTTAAGATGATCTCTCACTAAAATTAT